CCCCCCCCCCCCCCCCCATTACAGACCTTAGTAATTAAGGATAACAAGCGTCCGACTTTCAATTTTTTTTGAAAAATTGATCTAGTTATAATTTTGAAAGATAATCAACATCAGTGTTTGTGAGCTGATTAATATATGGGCGTGGCCAACCATAGGATGCCCCGCTTTGATACAGTCCTATTGTGAGGATAAAACCCACTATTGTTCGAGCCATATAAGAGGGAATCCTACATAACCCTGGATTGGCCCGAACAACACCATGTTTTATCCTTACAATAGTAGAGAAAAGCTACCAGCTTATCGTGTGAGCTAATCGCTTTTCTCTACTATTGTAAGGATAAAACATGATGTTGTTCGGGCCAATCCAGGGTTATGTAGGATTCCCTCTTATATGGCTCGAACAATAGTGGGTTTTATCCTCACAATAGGATTGTATCAAAGCGGGGCATCCTATGGTTGGCCACGCCCATATATAATAGTGCATAAGATCTTCTGTATATATCATGGATATGTGAAACAGATTTGTTTGCTGATTAATTTAATGATTATAATAATAAGAATGTTGAATTACGAAAAATGAATTAAAAAGAATGAACGATAATGAGCAAATAGCAACAATGCAAAATAAAAATAGGGTGCTCTGAAACAAAAAAAAAATTTTCTGTTTTAAATGAAGAAATAAATAACAAAGTGTCGCTCTTGTCATTGACTATCAATGAAAACAACTACAGTGTACGCGGAATTTTTCAGTTTACATATGATGTATTAGAATATTAAGATTTAAGGCAAGGGGGAAACGGCGGACTTGAAGTAGAAAAGTACGTCAAAGTAGACTACTTGAAGTAGCTCAAAGTACCACCCAAGTAGCCCAAAGTAGGAACAAGTAGCTTAAAGTAACTTCAAGTAACTTCGGGTAAATTTGAAGTTGAAAAATACTTCAAAGTAAGCTACTTCAAGTAGCTGAAAGTAACTTGAAGTAGCTCAAAGTAGCTCAAAGTAACTTCAAGTCCAAAAGTCCGCCGTTTCCCCCTTGATTTAAGGATATATGTGAGCTCCACATTTCAGCTCCGCAGGAGCTGCGCTAACAAGCTTTTTTCAAATGTTTCTTTATATTCCAAAAGATGAGGATGAGTTGAAGGTAATTTTTCTTGAGCTATTTCAACTGCTTGTTGAATATTTTTCATTGCCATACTATATTTTTGTGTAGCCAAATATAATTTTGCCATATTATGATATATAACAGCTAAATCAGGATGATTTTTTGGTAATTTCTTCTCACGTATTTCTAATCCTTTTTCGAAATATGTCAATGCTGTTGAATCATCTTTCATTTCACGATAAGTTTCACCTAAATTTATATATGTCAATGCACAGTCCAGAGGATTACATTGAACATTTTCTTGAATATTTAATGCTTTTTGATGAAATTCAAGTGCCTTTTCATAATTACCCATTAATCGATGAACATCACCAATATCACTGTATGTAGTAGCTCGATATGGATGATTTTCAGGCAAGACTTTCTGACGTACTGAGAGACACTTTTCGAAATTATCAAATGCTTTTGAATAATCTTTCATACTGCGATAAATCTTTCCGAACCATTTGTATGGAAAAGCCAAATCTGGATGATTCTCAGGCAGAACTTGTTTTGTAATTTCAAAGTCCTTTTTAGAATATGCAAGTGCTTTCGAGTAGTCACCCATGTTGAAATACACTTGGCCGATGTTATTGTAGGAACTAGCCAATGAGGGATGATTCGAAGGCAGCGCTTTTTCTTTTATTTTATGTGCTTTTTCGTAAAATTCAAGTGCTTTCGAGTAGTCACCCATGTTATTATACACTCCACCGATATTGTTGTAGGAACTAGCCAAATCGGGATGATTCGAAGGCAGAGCTATTTCTCGTATTTGATGTGATTTTTCGTAAAATTCAAGTGCTTTCGAGTAGTCACCCATGTTGTTATACACGAGACCGATGTTGTTGTAGGAACTAGCCAAATCGGGATGATTCGGAGGTAGAGCTTTTTTCTTGATTTCGAGATCCTTTTCGTAAAATTCAAGTGCTTTAGAGTAATCTCCCATGTTGTTGTACACTAGAGCAATGTTGTTGTAGGTAGGAGACAATGAAGGATGATCTTCTGGCAGAGTTTTTCGTTTAATTTTGAGAGACATTTCATAAAATGAAGCTGCTTCTTTGTATTGTCCTTGGTCGTCTTTCACCCATCCGAGCTGGTTATAGATATATGCTTTATCGCTGTCATCAGACGCTTGTTCTAGTAGTGCCATATACAATTCTTCGGCCTTGTCAAATTGACCAATTTTGAGCAGCAAAGGACCCAGTCGATACCATCCAGTGCTACCTGAAGATTCTTCTCGTATACGATTGGTTAATTGGCGAAGTTGTTGGTCGTCATCCGACGTAAGTTTAAGGTCCACTTCATAAAGTGGACTTTTCTTATCAATTTTTCGAACTTCACCGATTCGAAAGACGGTGTGCATCGAGAAGAGAATTTCCTCTTCGTCCTTGAAATAACTCACCTCCTGGATGGAGGCAAAAGGAGTCGATGAGACTGTGGGATCGATGGTCATTTGAAAGAGGATACCAACCATATCTGTTGCTCCTAAGGTGCCTTCAGCAAAAGCGAAGGAGACATCACGATCTGTGCTAGTGGATAAAAAGTTGTTGAAAGATATGAGACCACCTTTGTTTTTTGCAAGTTTTTCAAAGTCACTTGTCGATAATCCTTGACCCCTATAAACTAAAAAGGACTTTCCATGATACTGACTGACCTGCTGGCTGTGTAATTCTTCAATTTGTCGATGAACATCACATAGATAAAATCCCATTCGGATGATAATGTCACCGTCGAGCGTTCGTAATGCTCGATTGAGCATTTTGTATGTAAAACATTGGCGTGTGTACCACCATAACGCCAATGTAGGATGATAATTACGTTGAAACTCATCGATCAATTTGAGCTCTTTGGTATTGTCCTTGTATTGTTCTCGGCAGAAGGTGACCAAGTCTTTGATAGCTTGTTGATCATGTTCCATATCAAGGAGTATTTCCTTGAATATTTGTGTATACATGAAGGAAGGCTCTAGCTGATTAAGATCTTCGCTAGAACCTCCTTCATTGACACTGATAATACTGATCGTTACTTGATCTTGATTGCATTGTTTGACAGCCAGTGCCAATTTTTCACAGATGTGCTTAATTGATGTATGCACACCTTTAATTTTGGGCCAATTCTTAGCCCATTCTTGGTGACGTTGCTTGTTGCCACAAAAAAAGTATATGGCATCGAGTTTTGGCATGTCATGAATTTCTGGTACGAGGTGTTGACCTAATGCACCTGAGGAGATGACAAATGATGTCTCCTCATTGTTTTCCTGGAGTTTCTTGATACATTGTTC